AACGGCGTATCAAATATCAATCAAGATTTGCCCGATTGAAACATGCACTATTACCAGTAACTGACATGCACTTGACAAATTATTTATTATGAAGCTAAGTATCATTGTCTACCAAGTACAAGCAAGATTTATTCGTCCGAAATCCGCGTGTATTCCTAGCACGAATACGTTTCCTTATTTCATGAGACCACTGCATCGCGAAGGATCGTCATGGAAAACGTTCGTAGTTCTGAATTAGGGCATGCTGTCACAATGGAATTGTGAAGTTCTTCTAACTTCTGCAAAGTGCTGAAATCATGTTAAGAACACTCAAATTCGTTTGCCTTTTCTTAATCTTGTTAAGTTCAGAATAAACTGAAAATGAAACACAATCAAACCATACAACTCCATAAGAGATAACAAGCAACTCCCCAGAGACATCCACCATTTTTGGAACAAAACGTAACAAAATAGTTAGCGTTGATACTGTGATGTGCATTTGCAAAAAGCAATATTAATTCCTACATTAAAGAATAATATTTATCCTGCTCTAACCGAGAAATAATCAACTCTGTTTTGAACCCATGAAAAACATAAAAATATTGGACTATTTAAGAAAAATTTAATGGTCTTGCACCTATTAAATACTTGCATAATTTGAAACGTTCATATTTCAGGAAACAATGAGCTAAGACTTACATGCATGCATGTTAAGATGTCTAAATCTACGCCATATCCCTTACAAACCCTTACGACAATTCGCTGAAATACAAGTTAGCCTGATATGTCATTAAGCAAACAAACGCTGCAATTAATATTTAATATGCCGATTTTCGCTGATTTTAGACACATCCCAATATATGCTCCCGATTTTGAACATTAATATCTCCGTGAGATTTGAAGTAAAATACAACTGTAATATATCAAAATCTAAGTTAGTCCTTCCTCTATTTAATGCAAGTTATTTCTGCTTGATAGCTATATTGTTTAGAAGTTATTATAAATCAAACCGGAGTACTTTTTTTTGGGACATCCGGTACTGATATAAATCATTTATAATATATATATATCTCTCTATCTCTCTATCTCTCTATCTCTCTCTATCTCTCTCTATCTCTCTCTAGAGGCAAAGTATGGCACTTTGGTAACATTTTGTACCCTTCTCAATATTTTTCTTCCACCTATGTGCAATAAGTTGTGATTTATTTCAAAATAAAGGCTTACGTCCCCTTTCATTCCATGCCAAGTTTTAAGGCTTATCAGTAAATGCATTACGAACACTATTTGTTTATATAGTTACAAGGTTACAAAATTGCCACACACGTTGCTTACGTTCTAGCGGTCGAAAAACATCCCGGTTTCGACTCGAAACATAAAAATACGGGCTGTTTAGGACTTTTCTATACATTCCCTTCACTGCCACCATCACTCGTTCTCTTGGTTTGGCGGCGATAAAATTTTCAAGTCAGTTTACTATACATGTGTCATTCAGCTTCAGGTGGGATTTTTGTACGATATGAATTTTGTGTGAACATCAATTTTACCAGTTTCATTTTGATGAAATTTCCCATAATTCATAGGTTAAAAAGACCACAACAAGTCTTAATATTCATCAAAGTTTCAATGTCGTAGAGGCATCCGTTTATCTTTTATAATAAATTTTATGAAAATTCACAAAGGTTACAAAAATGCCATGTTGCTAGAAAAATTGATAACTTAAAAAAAGTTGTGTATGGAACCGACAACAAATGAAGGCAATCATATAACATTAATGCATTTGCTTACAACAAACTGCATACAAAGTTTGGTCCATCATGATTAATTCTATGGTTGGGAAATAAACCTTCTCTCTTTACCGTGAAACGGTGCGCCTGGCGACGGCCATCTTTAATTAACCACAAGCAATAATAGTAAGTATCCACAGGTATTTTTCTTCACATATTGTGTGCAGTCAATTCCATTTTACATGTTAGACAATTAAACAGCAGCTAAATGAGTCAACGAGTCACTGATAGCGTTTGCGCAAACCCTTTCTCTGGTCCCAAGACATATCGCGCAAAAACAGGGCACACGAATAATTCGGGTGAACCGCTACAATTAGCATTCACGCCATTGCCTGAGGAGGTTCTATTCATCCAGTATTATATATAAAGCAAACTATTACAAAAGCTAGTGTATATTTCAGTAACTAGTACTGTGAATAAGTACTATTTAAAGCACAAGTAGGAGTGTTTTGTCACATATAAAACACGACGCGTATAGCAGAGTGTTTTATATATGATAATAACACGACTACGACTGCTTTAAATAGCTTAAAAAACGACCCATCTTCTGATGAGTACATTAGCGAAGTAATTTTTAAAATAAACTTTGTCTAAACCGAAAAAATCAAAGCTAAAGGTCATGTAAATTAACATGATTTTTTATCACATATAAAACCATGACACGCTTACGATTTTTCTTTGTGTTTTGCTCCTGAATTATTAATGAGTTTTTTAATAACTTATATAACATTTATCATCTTTGCGTTGACTGTATAGCATTGAAACTGGAACTGAAACAATTATTCGATGTACATAATATTTCTTTTTACACGTTTTATGTATTATATACTACTTTCAAATCAAGAACTTCATAGATTCAGCCAACTCCAATTCGGTACAATACATGTAGACCATACGTTACTGAAACATTGCAAAAATATGTATAATGAAGCGTTCAATGAAACGAAACAGCTGTCACACAGTATTACATGTAGCTACATATTATGCAGAGACTGTTATACATAGTACTTTTCGTATACCCGCAGTTGTTATTAAGTGGGCAATGTGTAGGGCGTGCAGTATAGAAAGAATAAATAATGTATGCAATGGACTATGAATTATGGACCAAACCAATTTCTGAATTGGCACAGTTGGGCATGACGGAGCGCAATCCAACTTGAACGCGAATTTGATCTGAATCTGGTGTAGGTAGGTAGGTATATAGGTAGGTAGGTAAAATTGTAAAACTTTATTTAATTAAAAGATACACGTTGAGCCCGCCAACCATACCCTGATTTCCACGAGGGGCGTGTGGATTACATGATATTACATGACATTATGAGTATTACGTGTGTATATGTATATATATATATATATATATATATATATATATATATATATATATATATATATATATATATATATATATATATATATATATATATATATATATATATATATATATATATATATATATATATAATATATATAATGCTTGTGCATGATGTTACTCAGAGAGTACATCCACACCAATGCAGGCGAGCTTGAAAAATATGCCTGGCGACGGTGGGAATCGAACCTACGACCTTTGGAATACAAGTCCAATGCTCTGCCAACTGAGTTATGCGGCCAGGACGGTTCGTGTAAGTGATATTTCGGAACAAAATCTAGTTCCTTCCATACCAATGTAATCTAGTAATATGATTTTTTCCTGTGTTGGTGTTGTGTACTCAGGTGAATATGATGCTTGTGATGTTACATGAATATGATGCTTGAGTGTACATCCACACCGGGAGAGCTTCGAAACTAAGAGTTAGCTAAGCTACGAATTGTAAAGAGTTAAATCGGTACTTATTTATTGCATAAATGATAGGACTCTAACTAAATCGTTTAGTTCTACACGCATAATTATAATATTCTAAGCCCTTTGTCCTCATTTCCTCTCTCTTAATTGAGAAACCTTTATTGGGAGAAGATGGTGAAGTTTATGGCCGGGGGTTGACATTTTCTTAATCATGTCAACATACATAACATCTCTTAATACGTTCCTTTAGGGTTTTCAAATTGGACTGGCGTAATGCATTATCGTAGCTCATACCAGGGTGGATTATTCTTAGCGCTCGCTTTTGTATTCTCTCAATGTCATTACTCTGTTCAGACTGTGATGGAACGAATTTAGCGCGAATTTCAATGGCAAAAGCATGGTTGACGCTACATATAAAACATAAAGGTGCACTGCAAAAAAACAAAATAAGTATTCCTTTATCTTGTATGTTTCTTGAGCAATACTATCTGAGCCAAATTTAAATCATTCATTTTATCCCAGTACGTTATAACAATGTTTATTATTAGCATGACAAAGTTACTGGATGCTGATTGTTTGAGAGTGGTACAATTATTTCATTAATGATTTTCCCAAAACAAACAAAATGGCGGAAACCTATTTTAAACACAAGCGTGGATTGAAATTGCCGTAGAGGAACTAGATGAAAATACAAACAAAACCACCAAATTTGCTTTATCAAAAAAACTAAATGAAAATACGAACAAAAGCACCAAATTTTGGTTGAAAGTCTGGCAGGACTAGGCTTTGGCGAGAGAATATGATGTTGACATTGAGAAGTACATATCCAATTTTGTTATGCTAATAGGAATCAAGTAATCATGCGATGTTGCTCGTACAATTAGGGATTAATAGTACTCGTGATGTTTGGAAATTTGCCAAATTGGACGAGCCACTGGGGCTCGTCCAATTTTGGCAAAATTTCCAATCATCACTCGTATGATTAATCCCTAATTGTACTCGCCATCACATGATTACCCATACTTACTACCGCGATCCTTCTTCATAATCAACGCAGTAGCTTATAATTTCACGCGCTTTGCTGAAATGACGAATCACACCCGATTCCGGTTTACGGGTGCGGGTGAATATAGACGTACCCGTACCCGTAAATCGGGGAATAACTTGTAACTTAAGAAATCCAAGATATTCTGGCATGAGAAAACCGATCAGCGCATAAGACCTTTTGTTTCACCTTCCACAATGCAACTGATTTACAAATGTCTAGTCCAGCCATATTTCGACTACTGCTCAGTTATCTGGGATAGTTGCGGGAGTACTCGTGCGGATATACTACAAAAACTACAAAATCGTGCTGCAAGAGTACTGACGTCATCCAGTTATGATACAAATGCCGATTATCTGTTTGAAATACTTGGTTGGAAAAATCTTGCATCTCAGTGTAAGATTGCCAAAGCTATCATGGTATATAAATCTGTGAATGGCCTTGCACCAGATTACCTCTCCGAAATGTTTGTTGATCGCAGTAACATTACAAATTATACGTTGAGAGACACCACCGGCAAACTAGCGATACCACAACCGCGTACAAACTATTTGAAAAATAGTTTTAGTTACAGTGGTGCGGTACTGTGGAATTCTCTTCCTACAGAATTACGGCAGGCTAGCTCTTTACGTAAATTCAAGGCTGATTGTAGCAACTTCATTCGATAATTTTAATATTTTTACTCCTATCTACATCATTAATTAGTTAATAATGCACGGCACTCATGGAAAACAGGTATTAATAATGTATTTCCATATTTTGTTTTTTGTAATGTCCCTTGTCTATTTTATTGTAAATCCTGATGAGTCTACCGTGGTTAAATAAAGTTCACTTACTTACTTACTTACTTACTTACTTACTTACTTACTTACTTACTTACTTACTTTCGCTGTTGAAGTTCGCCATAAATTGTTGATAACTTTGACCAGCATATGTGCCTTTTTTTATTTCGGGTAAAGGCGGATTTCCAGTCGTCGCACAAAGCTCCTCGCAGCTCGCTGCGAGTGCTTGCATCTAATTAAAATTAACTGTTTAGAGTTGTGATTGGAGTGCGAGGACTGGAAATCCACCTTAAGACAGTTGAAAATTTGAACTATTTAAACGCCCAAAAATAGTAAACAGAAAACACCCGTACCTGTTTGTCGTTTACACGTAAACCATGGTTTACCGCGGTGAAATGGGTAGAAATTATGGGTAGAAATTATGGGTAGAAATGCTGACATCAGCAAAAATTGGTGAACAAAATGGCGATACTCGTACCCGTAAAACGGAACCGGGTATCTGAACCTCTCTATTATGCAGTTCCAAATTCAATGTTGAAATAATCATACTTGAATCAGTTATCAGTATACGCAAAAAGTGCGAAAGACCTGTGAAAATATACATTCGACGCACAAATAAAGGGAAAGAATCCGCATAAATAATTTAAGGGCTTTTACACGAGACAACCTACTGGACAATTGTATTAAGCATGCATGTATTCTGTGATCAAAAGCGACGGTAACATGGAAGTAAGGATTTTCAAGGGAGTTAAATTTGTTGACAGAAACATTTAGCTAAAAATGAACATTATGTATTAAAACTGACATGCATGGTCATGATGACCACGATGATAGCCAATACGTATAACAACGTTTAGCAGCAGTGCCAATTATGACATTACTGATTATGCCTACAATGTAATTTTGTTTGATTTTCTGTCTTTTTAACTTGTATAGACACTGTTTTGTGCTCATTTATTATGTCTTATTTATTATGTATATGCATGGTGCGTGCATGCATGTGTTCGCAAAATGTGAGATCATATTTGAAAAGTGCATTCGACGCACAAATATAGTAGGCTTTCCGGCACAAGACGGAACTAGAATTACGCATGTATCACTGTGTAGCATCTGCATGCAGTGATTGGTCCGCTCGTGAATATTTGCTTGGCTACTTCCACATTCTTGCATATCGATATGTAAGCAGGACCATTGGCATGCATTGATTAATTAACTTTATTACAATAAAAAGCCATTTAAGACAACCTAGAACGGCAACGACAACGGCAAAAATATAATTGCTTATATTGTTGTAATTGAGCCAAAGTATACGTT